CCTCAGCCTCCCGACTAAGTCACGCGTCTCGGCCTAGTGCCGCCCGAGATGCATTCACGCGGCCGACCCGTCTACAACGCGCCCCTCAGGCCCGCCTGAACAGCTCGCTTGAAGCAGAAAGCCATGCATCGAACTCCCTACCCGAAAAACCGATGCATAGCTCCTTTCGGGTGGGGCATATGATAGGGGTAAAAAAACTGATTTGACATAACACCCCGGATTTGACGTAATACACCCCCACGCCGGACACCTTGTGTGGCACGTGGCTCCTGAACGAGCATTAACGACGACACGACGCGCACCTACGCCCACCATGCCCAAGCAACCTCCTCGGCTGACCCCTCGTGGCCGGTCAAGGTAGGGGAAGGCGCTGACTGACACCCCCCATACCCTGCGGCAGCTCGGCCTTCCACGCAACGACCATAACGACAGACGCCATCAGAGGTACGACCCCGCCCCGGTAGGATGGCACACCAGGTAACGTCAAACCCACTTATAAATACCCCCTGGCTCCTAACAGGAAAGGGGGACAATCTCGCAAAAACACTCCACCCTGCTTCACTAACTTAATCGTCGGAGGGGCCGGGCCGAGCAACGGGCCCGACCTGTGTGCAGGTACTCGACCGCCACTTAATCCGCCCGACGCCCCGAGACTTTCCGGCCAGCGGCCTCCGTGGCAGCCACCGCAACCATCCAAGATGAGCCACGTCTGATCCCAGTCATTTGGAGCCCTGAACCGGCCGCGTCGACCCCGAGGTCACGGCTGAGAAAGTTACTTACCGTAACAACAGCGGCATGGGTTAGGGTTCGGTTGTCACTTATAGCAGTTTTAGTTGGTTCGATTGAACCAACTAATCATCGGAGACCAAACCAGGATCGAACCAGAGCTAAAATCCTGGTTCGGTCGCCTTGGTTAACCTAGGCGCTCTCCCGAAGCGCCTAGTGCCTGGGCTTGGGCGAGCGCCCAGGCGGCGCCTGTTTGAAGCGCGCCTGTTTGAAGCGCGCCGCCTGGGAGATTAACGAGGAGCTCGGGCCTCGTCTTGCCTCGCCCGAGCGCCTAGGTGAGCGCCCGAGCGCCTTTTTAAATCGCTAGCCATCATACCAAAATTGAATGAGAGATACTAGTTATGATGCTTTTAAAGATTAGATAGCAAGTCAGGATTGCACCAACAGAACAAAATGTCAAATTTTTAACTGAGCTCGAGTTATAAGTTATATTGCTAATAATTGACTTATATATATGTGAACTATAGATAGCATGAATCTAGGGCACAGGTCTTAGTGTGAAAGACATTGCGAGAATGTGGAATATTGTGTGATAATTGACCTCTTTTCCTATCATGTATGATCCTTAGCCAGCAAAATGCTACTAAAGTTATGTCAGAAAATTTCTTGAGAAGATGATGGATATTAAGAAATCATAAAGAAGTGGCAATAAAAGAGAACAGATGATTGCAATATCCACATGATTGATTGAAGTTTAGTGGCTACCATGTAATTGATCTGCATTGAGTTTGATGGTTACAATATCCATCTCTATCGAATAGGATTGACATTCTTACATCTTGTTTTGGCAAAGTCAGGGTAGTCAGTATTAAAATGATTGACATTCTTCTTACATCTTGTTTTGGCAAAATCAGAGTAGTCAGCAAGAATACTTGAAGCTGAAGGCCCGTGTTGAAGCCTTGCAGAGATCACAAAGGTGACATCTTACTGTTCTTCTTCGCACATTAGAAACACAGCTTTTACTGGAATGCTGAAAGACGTTAATGGAGTAATTGTTTTGGGTTGTAGAAATCTGCTAGGTGAAGATCTGGGGCCCCTCAACATCAAAGAGCTCGAGCAACTTGAGCGCCAACTTGATGCATCATTAAGACAAATAAGATCAACACGGGTAATGCTCATTCTTACAAGTTCATACTTTTTATGGCCACTCAACTTGTTGCTAATCGATAGATCATCCATTAACTACTTGTTCGGATGCCAAAAACATCATCTCTGAACTGTGAACTTGTCTCTTCCAACAGACTCAGTACATGCTCGATCAGCTGACGGATCTCCAAAGACGGGTATCATCACCTGCACATCAAAATGAATTGCCTGTGAGCACCATCCACACTTGTATCTTTCCATCTAACACTGCTCTGTCTGTTGACAGGAGCAAATGCTGTGCGAAGCAAATAAAGCCCTGAAGAGAAGAGTAAGTAGTTCTCTTACTTCCGTCCTAACTTAGCCACATCGAGAAATCTTTGCCATGGTTTGCATGTGATGACACTTGGCAGTTGGAAGAGAGCAACCAAGCCAACCAGCAGCAACTGTGGGATCCCAACACCTACGGCCGCCAGCAACCTCAACCACAGGGTGACGGCTTCTTCCAACCCATAGACTGTGAACCTACTCTCCAAATCGGGTACCTCCTCCACTCGTGCTCATCGATCTGTGGTGTGAGCCACGCATGCAAGATGGTAGCTAAGGCCATGATTTGTTTCTTTCTTCTCCAGGTATCATCCAGATCAAATGGCCATTGCAGCTGCTGCTGCCGCTGCTGCAGCTGCTGGCCCAAGCGTGAGTAACTACGTGCCAGGAGGATGGCTTGCATGAGCGAGAAGAGTTCGAGTTCGAGTTCGAGTTCGAGTTCGAGTTCTCGCCGTCGCCGTTCATCGTGCCTTAAGTGGGGTGTTGTACGTCACTAGCGAACTCTCCTATTTCTTGTGCTATTATTGCTGTGGTTGTAATTGGGTATATAGTCCTGTTGATGAACTGCTATCATAAAGAACTCGTCTATGTGCGTACTTGATCTTAAATTGGAAGTCCTTATGGATGAACCTGTTGTAATATTTATTTTTGATTAGAATTATCGGATGGTTGAGATGGACGGCGTAGATCTCACAGTCCACGACTCAGGACACGAATCAGGAGATCACTCCAGCAGGAACACGTGGTGAGCCTAAGCAGCACGTGGTGGCAAGCGCGGAGGCGCCTCCATGTGACCACCGCACTCGCTGACGTCGACTGCACCGACCGACAATTATGTTTTTCTATTTTTTTTAATTAAAATGATTTAAAATAATATATATATATATATAATTTAAAATAAAAATATTTTTTAAACTAAAAAAATAATCTTCAAATTATTCAGATTCGATTTGAAATAAACGAACTGTTAGATTATGTGACCCTTTTTATAATTGAATAAGATATATAATATAATAACTAATTAGATTCCGTGGAACACATTACCATCGTAATAATTAGATCTATATACTTGATTTCAATCCTGACATATAAGTTATTTTTATATTTCAGATATAGCATAATTATATATTTTATGTGAATCACTCAATCGATTTAATTTCAATTAAAATCAAACTATTCTTTCATGTCAATATATATTATTATCTGTTTCAGGTATTAAAGAAAAGGAAAAAAAGCAAGGAATCACATTTCCCAACTTTGCCTACAGTGTAAGAAAGGCAGTCTTCATGCATCAACGAGGATCGACTTGGCCTTTCGGCACTGTCATCTCCACATCCATTGCCTGTCGTCTCTCAAGAAAAGAATCCTAAAGCGGCCAATAACCAAATGAATCAGTGCAAAGCTTGCATTCCACGAACCCTAAAGCAGCGTTCCCATCTCTTTTCCCATCCCTCTCCTCCTTTTGTTCGCTTTAAGCTTTCTTACCGCTTAAGTATTGCAGCTTTCTCTGTGTCTCTCTTCATCATCATCATCTCCATTCCCTCTTGCTCGAAGAAGGAAACACAAGCTGTAGCAACAGGCGAGAGACATGTCTGCCGACTGGGGGCCTGTGATCGTGGCCGTCATCCTCTTCATCCTCCTCTCACCGGGGCTGTTGTTTCAGCTACCAGCGAGAACGAGGGTGATCGAGTTCGGCAACATGTACACCAGCGGAATCGCGATTCTAGTCCACAGCATCATCTTCTTCGTCATCTTGACCATCCTGGTGATTGCTATAGGCGTCCACGTGCACGCTGGCTAGTAGATGATCAAAGTCCTTTTTTTGGGTTTCGCCATGGTTTTGTTTCTGTCCGTCACGCATGTAAACCTTATTGTCAGTCAACTGTAATCTGTGGAATAATGGATGATGAAGTCGAGTTGAAGAATGGTGAGGCTGCTGCTCTTCTACCAGTCGGCTCATTGCCTTCATCTGTTTCACATATATAAATCTCCTTTGGTTGTGTTCGTGTAAGGAAGCACCTTCAGTTAGGGTTCTTCACCTACGGCTTGAGTTCTGCTTAGAACAGTTGGGACTCCTAATCAAAGATCTTACTCGCATCTCGGAGACTTACTTGTTTGCTTTGGATCGAGCATTTACCGAAAAGAACGGCCTTGATCAAGCCCCTTGACACGTTTAACCTGAGGATCGAGTACTGGATGGAATCAGCATGAATGAGGTCATTGGATTAGGTTTTTTTTTTCTTTATGATGTTTCTTTTAAGAATCAAAGTTGAGCTGCACACGTATACCATAACATGGCAGTTTTTGGTTTTGTTAGCTTGTTCTTTATGATTTATGACGGCTTCATAATGGTTTCATTATAAAATTATATATCATTGTTATATGTTTATAAGAAATATATTAACGATCAATCATCATTCAACACATAATCACTACATAAAAATTATCATTAAAAAAAAAATCTAGGTCAACTTTCACTCGTCTACCCGTATAGACAAAAGTCTAAGGTAAGTCGTTCGGGAATATCTTCCCTTGTTACCCACATGGACAAAACGTCAAGAGGCGAGTGTTGGAGCAATTACAGGTTGTCCCCGAAAAGGCCAGGTATAAAACACGACATTACAGAGCTCTTTTTCAAAAAAAAAAAAAAATCATATACATTAAGTTTTTGGTGACTAACTTGAGCGTCAAAGGGATTGGATCGAAAAAAAAAATTTCGACATCAATCTTAGTGCTAGTGGCACCTCGGGAGCTTGGCGCTTCCACCTCGGACACTCCTATGCCTTCGAGTTTGGACCATGTCGGGTTGACTTAGACGTCGACGCCAATTTTTCCTAGTATTTTGGTGCTAGAAGGTGGATCTGATGTCGTAGGAATGTTCGTCCGTCAATCCTTCTAACGAATGCTCTAGCGAGAAGGCCCTGTCTCCATCCCATAGCACTTTTACTCAAGAGGAGCAGCTATCATCCCTCTCCCACGTGGATGCGTCCACTTCAACGTAAGCGCTAGCGTGCTACTAGCATCGATACAATGACCCAAGCCTTTCGCTTCCAGGAATAACCTCAAGCCATCTATTTGTCCCTACCGAGGTATTTCTGAACCTCACCCAATAGGCACAAACGCTAACGGGCATGATGTAAGCTATCACCCTACTCCTACCTCAATTAGCCCAACAAGTAATGTCATCATCTTAGCCGTGATCAATACCTCAACTCCCACTAGCTCAAGCGCCTATCGGGATCCCCCCACCTAACACAATGTTAGCATCTTAGGATCGCCTAAGGCTTATGGAATTGCTTATCGAAGCAACACCTTACTCCCCAATTGTGGAATTTAATGTGTCATCACGCTATCACACTGCTCTGCCCGAATCCGAGACCCAATCAATAGATTTGATAGATGACATATTGAAGATCCATCTATAGCAAATGGACTAATGCTTATAAGAGATGCACCAAGAGTTCTAGCAATCTAGAGTGGAAATGTCGAACGATCCCACCTTAAGTCAGTCCCCATTCATTCAGACCATCAAAGGGAAGCCAATCTCAATGAACTTTCGCCTCTCATCACTAGAGATCTTTAACGACAATACTGACCCGATGGAGCATACTACCGCCTTCCGTGCCCAAATGCCACTGTACAACACCTCGTATGCCTTAATGTGTGGTGCATTCCTTACAGTGTTAACAGGCTCGACACGAGAATAGTATACTCACTTGAAGCTGCTCTCGGTCGTTTCTTTTGCTCAACTCACAAAGGAGTTTGAGTTTTACTTCCTTAGGAATGTATGCTCAAAGCCATCAGCAACAATGCTTCTCGAACTTAAGAGAAGGAAGAAATACCCTTCGACTTCATCGTTGGATTTACAAACGAGATCCAAGGCGAGCAAGAAGCTCATCTATTGCATGTAATATAGGCCTTTATAATGGGGCTCAAGTCCTCTTGCTTTTTCTTGTAATTAGTGGAGAGGTCGTTGGCGGTGATGTCCACAGTGCTCTTGAGGGCCGACCAATACATTGTCTTGAAGGCAATGGTCTCGAGTAAGCACTAGAGACACGCAAAAGATCAAGACATGAGTGACTGCTGTCAGCCCCGACCCCGAGGTCACCATGGTGAAGAAAGAATGATCGACCTGAGCTGCCTCACCTTAGATCCAAGTCGACTCCCTTGGACATGACTAGAACTAAAGTTTTGTTTATAAATAAAGAAAAAAGATCTCTTGAAAAACTCTCAACCGATAAAGACACCGTTGGAGAGGAGGAATAAATCTAAGTACTATAGCTTTCACTGCAACTATGGCCTCCACATGGAAGATTGTCGTGATTTGAAGGAGCAAATCGAAGAACTCATTCATCGGGGTCACCTTAAGAGGTTTGTCCGAAGGCACCAGGAACATTCACCCTGACCTAAGGGGCCAATGAAAAAGCAAATTGACATCATCATTAGTGGACCTACGTTGGGAGGAGACAACTCCTCAGGTCACAAAGCCTACACTCGAGTTACCATCGAGAAGCACTTGAGGTATAAGGACGACTCAGAAATAACCTTTAAGGAAAAAAAGATAGAGTAACTCGACCTAACCACGATGATGCCTTAGTGGTCTCCATGAGAATGATTAATGCTCGTGCGAAGAGGGTCATGATTGATATAAGTAGCCCTACTAATATCCTCTACTTTGATATTTTTTGTAAACTTAGACTCTCGGCTAACGATCTCACCCTTATGATTTCTTCGCTGATAGGGTTCACCAGCGACTCAATCTTCTCTCTCGAGACTATGAGCTTGCATGTCATATTTGGGGATGAGCTCTACTCTAAAACAATAATAACCAAATTCATTGTGGTTGGTATCTCCTCAACGTACAATATAATTATAGGTCGACCCATGCTCAATAGGTTGAGGGCAATAGTGTGACCTACCACATGGTGATGAAATTCCCAACAAGGACCAATGTCGGAGAACTGAGAAGCAACTCGGGGGAATTGCACCAATGCTATCTAATGATAATCACCCTACCGAAAAAGCTTGGCCTGAGGTGCCGCCAATAAACCCTCGGAATTTCGCCAAGCCCCTCCCACATCTGGAGTTGATAGAGTCCCTGATTGAGACAAAACACTTCTCCAACAATGAGGTCGAATACAAAGCACTTCTCTCAAGGCTCCAACTCTCTAAAGAGGTTCAAGTCTAAGACTTGACAGTGTTTAGTGATTCATAGCTAGTTGTGAGCTAGGTGGAGGGGAGCTATAAAGCCCCAAAAGTAACTATGGTAAAGTACCTTACTGAGGTGTGGAGGTTAGCTCACAACGTATCTTGACTCAACATGTTACGGGTCCCTTAGGCAGAAAATGCCCAAGCTGATGCACTCGTCAGGTTAGCCTCCACCCGAGCTATGAGGGAGAGTTAGTGGTTGGTCGAGACATTACCGACTCAA